TAATAGATTTAATTGATTTAGCGCCTCCTGACTGGCATAAAAAAAAGTGTTGTCCAGAGGTCACCAGGCCTAGCGGGCTGTTCCTAAGCCTGCTGGCGCGGGCGCAACGATAGTTTATCTTAGATCTGTCAAGCGCGCTCCGTCATTCAGCACTCGGCCGTATTATTTCAGGTGCGCTTATACTTTCTGGTTAATATTAGCGCTTTGGTACAGAAGTCAAACAAACTCGACCCAGCGTCAATGTCGGCGCGGGCAATATTGGTTTTCCTCGTCAGTGCGAGCTCGGGGAGCGAGGGGGCCGGGAGGGTACGGCTGTGAAGAGGGGAGTTGCGGGGTGGGGAGTTAGGGGGGTTTAGTGGGGGAGGGCGAGAGGGGTTAGGGAAGGGGGACAGGGCCATGGTAGGGTCGGTTGGGGTAGGGGGGTGGGTGGTTGACGGGGAGGTGATGGTGAGAAGAAGTGGACCTAAGATGGGATCAGGAGACGGTACAGCAAGCGGGGTTGCCGAACGATCTGTGTGGACGTTCGCATTTTTACTGCGCATTGCGGTTGCCTCTCGTCAGCATCATTCATAATAGATGCATGTAATACAAATAATGAACGGCCATTTCTCAACCTATTTCTGGACGAAGGCCTCCCCGTGCCGTGTGGTCACGGGCATCGTTTAAACGTCCGTCACTGCGCTGTCCCGTGCGGGGATGGTGAACTCGGGGAGGGCTCGGGCCCGATTCGGATGCCACTGGCCACTCATGTTTGCCGTGGCCAGGAGTCTCGCGGTACACGAACCACTAAACCACCGTCTCCCAATTAGTGAGTTCACGGCTCGTGAGATGATCGGCATGTGACTAATAGGCATGTAGCCAATGCATCGATTCCACAAACAGCTCTTGATACTTGCATGAATATGTGGCAAGTAATACTCAATTATACAAGACAGAAAGCAGGGCTGTATTGTAACGCTGATTTTAGGCTACTCGAGCAGGACGTGAAATCGGGACGTGAAATCGTGACCAAGATTTGACAATCAGTCAGCACGAAATTGTGACAATTCATCAGCACGAAATTGTGACAATCCATCAGCACGAAATCAATCCACTGCTGGACTGAAAGTCTCCCAACCCCACGTTGGTTTTGGGGGTTGCTTCAGCTACGCTGATCAAGGGGAGCCAGGGAGGGGGGGGGGATGCAGTCAGGACTGAGTCAAACTGTCGCTCGCCACCGACGTTAAGTCGTGGCTGGGAATCGAACTCCTCCTGCCAGGTTCCCAAAGGGGCATGCTTAAACGCTGCACTCTACCCCCTAAATACAAAACACCTGAAATATATAAGACGTTTATATATTTTTTTTAGATTTTTACGTGCGAAATCAAGAACCAATTTGTCAATCGAACAACACCTTCATAACAGCATCCCACGACGCTGTACATTAATTATCCACAATGGCCAAATCCCACATTTCAGCCACTACACCAAGCAATTGAAAAGCCCACTACACCAAGCAAAATGAATCAACAAATTAAGAAAAAGGCACGAAAAAATCGCACTAACAAAGACAAAAGCACCTCGCGCGTCCCACACCCTTTGCTCGCCGAAACTGCCCAGCTCTCGTGGATCACGGGGAACACGGCAACATCAGCAGCAACAACAACAACAAACAACAACAAACAACAACAACAGCGGCGCTCGCGCTCAACAACGACACAAGTCCCTGCTTATTGGGAACTGGCGTCTAAATCCTATTTTCAAAATGACATCAGCCGCTTTCTTCTCTCGTGGGCAACCGCACAGTGGGAGAGGGGGCTGGGCGGTTGTGGGGCGCGGGGAGGGGAGGGGGAGGTCTGAAATCCGGTACCGGGAGTGGAGAGCGGCGAGTCAGTCCTGCCGTTGTGGGGTTTGTGGATTTTAGGAATTGCGTTGCATCGCGGCTGAGAGCCGCGGTGTCGTCGCGGTTGTTGGAGAAAGGTTCCGCGCGCCCGACCACTCTCGCACTCGCGCGGACCCAAAAACGGACTCAATCCCCCCCATTATACTTCATTAGTTGTTATGTCTCAGCCCTTTAATTAAGAAATAACATTTTCACCTTCGATATATTTGCACTGCGGCTCATGCGTGACCGCAGGTGTGTCCTCTCGGCCCAGCCGAAGGGGCCCAAAACATTCCACTTTTTTTTTTTGCGCCCGTACTGTTTTGATTGTATAAACTTGAGCCCGACGCTTGTGTAAACATCCCCAAAGAACCTCCTTAGTGTTTGTTAACGTCCAGAGAAGTGCAATGTATATTTTAGTAGCTAACTAGAAAAGTGTATTTTAAACGCCGCCTTTTTATGCCTTGTTAATCATGGTTTCATAAAAAAAAAATAGAGCCTTGCTCAAAATAGACGGAGAGCACTGATCGCTATAAATAAGCCCTGTGCTTGGAGAGGACTTGTACACACAGCAGTGCGCGTACGCACACGTTGTGTGCACGTTGTGTGCACACGACGTGTTTCTGCAAGTAATGAGGAATTGCACGGCCAGCCGCTGAAACACTCGTCTCTCACAAGCTCGAAGACCACACTCGCGCCGCAGTCCACCCACGCGGCCTCGAACTTCCCAAGCGCTCCGTTACAATTAAAAACCCCACGGCGTGTTGGGCAAAGCATGCGTGCGTGCGCGCGCGACAATTGGTTACTCGTGTCAACGCGTTTTCATACGGAGCTGAGCAATTGGATTCTCAACCCGCTGCAAAACACTCGTCCGGCAGCTCTCAACGGGGCTAACACTCGCCACTGCCGCCGCCACTGCAGCCCACACACGCATCCTCAATTTTTCCCTAAACCGAAGCGCTCCAACACAAACAAAACGCGTGGTAAATCTGCAGAGCGCCTCGCCCGAGTTTCTGAGGACAGGCCCTAAGCCGTTGCGAATACCTTTGCCGATCGTCGGTAGAACTTGACGTTTGTGCTGATTAGCGGGGACAACATTAATCGAGCGAGCGACACATGTGTAGCTTGACAGATGACTTAATGACCCGCCACAGGGGTTAAGCTGTGTGACTCCTGCTTGACGGGTAAAGGATTTAACGCCATGCATATGGAGTTGGGTCATCGAGTGTTTGCGTGTGTGTTTAGTGCGTGTATCTGTGTGCGCGTGCGCCTACACGAGTGTGCACGTACATATATGTTCGTGTGCATGTATGTAGTGACGCACTTCGCAGACAATAATGGGAGGCGCTCTGTTTACACATTCCTGCGGAGGGAGCTGGTAGGAACGTTGGGTTGCTCGGTCAATGGCCAGGGTCAACGGCGGCGTGGTGTATTCCGCAAATATGCCCGACTGTGAGGGCGGGCACAAGCCGGCGTGAGTAGGTTAAACGTTGAGTTTTATAAGGGCACCACGGGGTGACCAGCCCCTCCCCACCCAGCCCCACCACTTCCACCCAGCCCCACCCTCGCCACCCAGCCCCTCCCCACCCAGCCCCACCCTCCCCACCCAGACCCTCCCCACCCTCCCCACCCAGACCCTCCCCACCCTCCCCGCCCCTCCCCTTCCCTCCCCACCCAGCCCCTCCCTCCCCACCCAGCCCCTCCCTGCATGACGGACACAATAATCCCCTGTGGGCTGGTGTAACCAGGAGGTTCCTACCAGTATTAAAGCCTTACACAGGCACAGGGAACACGATACTCAGGCCAGGGCAGCAACAGGCTGCCTGACCCACAACGCTGCAGACGTGAAGATGTTAAGGTGCACTCGTCCACGCCAGGTGTAATGCAAATATAGTTTGCGTTCATTTTCTTTTCCTAAAGATGTTTTTTTATGTTTATTTGTGGGACACCTTGCTAGCAGCCAAAGTACATTTTAAATTATTTGACTAATAATCCAAAACATTACTTCATGTAATACATAGCATAATAAAATGTGTTTTTATGTTCATAGTAAAAACATTGTTGTCTGTATAATTAAGCATTAGAAATAAAGGCTTTACTGTTAATGAGTACAGCAAGTTGGCTACTGAGGAACGGTCTCTTAATGTATTAGGAATAATCCCTTCTTTCGATGAGTTTTTTTTCATGAGCTCCAGAAACACACAGAGAGGAAATGTAATTGGCGATACACCCCAAGAAGGACCGTCAATGAGACCGAGTAGGGCTTTCCTGCACAGATAAATATCTAATTATGATGATTATTTTAGATTGTAGTCTGCCACAGTAGGGGCACGACCATTTATTCACCCAATCAAACCAACGTGATTCAGTCTCAGATCTGGAATTTAGCTAAATTCAGTAAAAAAAAACACGAACTTAATAAAACGGGTTTCATTTTTAAGCAGCTATTGGTGACTGACCTGAGATCATCAACTCTCAACTCAGTTTAACCATGGGTGGCCAAAACCCAGATTCAAACTCAGAACCTGGGTAGTTGCTGGCTCCTTATCCCTGTGATTCCCCGATCCAACCCGGACGCTTTTGAGACAACTGAAACCTTTTCAACCTTTCATCACAATCGCACTTCCTACCAGAAGGGAAAATCAAAGTGAATTCTCAATGAGTGAGCGAGCGAGTTGGCGAGCAAGTGAACTATGAGCGAGCGAGTTGGTAAGCGAGTGGTAGGCCTCGGCAAGGTAAGGTAAAAGGTAAAAACAACGAGCCTACCTTTACCCTACCTTTTACCCTTACCCCATAAAAATTACCCGAATGACAAGGTAATTACTGGGATACTACACATTAAAAAGGTTTATAACAGCTAAATGCTAGGTAGAGCGCTTCATTCATATAGAATACTCTCGATGATTCCAATTTTAAATGGAGGCCACGGACTGCGCCACAGAGCGGTAAACAAGGTATTTACCGGGTAATTCTTCCACGCTACATTTACCCTACCCTTTACCTTACCCCTTGGCATGTCGACACCTTTACCCTTTAACTTTACCCTTTTACCCGGTAAAAAGGGTCAATTACCTTACCTTGCCGAGGCCTAGCGAGTGGGCGAGAACGCGAATTATGAGCGAGTGCGCGTTGCCCTCACCTCTCCAGCATCGCCATGATGAGGGGGGGCAGCACCAGGATGGGCATGGGCAGCACGATGCGCGTCACCGCCGTCTCCGCCAGCGCCTGGAACGGAGCGAGCGCGGCCGCCGTGCGGGGCGAGACAAACAAACACGGTTGTGGGACAAACGCGTGCCGCGTGCCCACTCTCACCGGGGAGAGTGCCGGCTAGGTAGGTGTGTGACCCGGGCAGAGCAGACTCGGCTCGTGTTGCCACGGCGGTCCTGATGGGGTTGGGCCCGCAACGAGCGGGGTTGCCACTTGAGCCTGCGGAGCTGCGCGCAGGTTGGAGCTTCAGGCTTGGGCTCACGTGGTATTTTATTAGAGGCGACTGATTTCCAAAACGCATAGGTTTTCGGCATCACGGCAACACATCTCAATTCCGCAGTTCGTGTAAGATACATGTATTCAGACTTGCCTTCCCATAAAATCGAATTTTTTAAATTAAAACGGTCTGTTTACTTTTCCTGTATTTTTAGGGACTACTTACTTTTCTTATGCTATTCATTGCGCTCGGTTGCACTTTATTTTGTGTGCGGTTACAATTGACTTTGCTCATCCGGTGTTCCTACTCCGTTGTAATGTAATGTGCACCAATGCCCACTTTATTAAGGGCGTAAAATGAAGATTGACTGATTGATTGACATCTCCCTTGGTGGCCAGACAACCAGAATAAATGCCCAAACTTCCCACAAACAACAACAACAACAACAAATGACACACGGGGCGCCCTTCAATGGATCTGAGCGCGTGCACGACCGTCGACGTCGATCTGAACGCAAGTTTTTACGGAGGCGGCGTCCCCAGCGTCTCGTGAGAGGGAGGAGTGGAGGGGCTTGAGCGATGAGTGCGAAGGAGGACAGGGAGCAACTCCCCGGCGACTCGTGGAAGGTGGGGAGAAGGCGGCACGAGAGATGTGTGGGAGGGACAGGGAAGCGGCTCTCAGAAACTCGACAGAGTAAAGCCACATGCTAGGATCCGAATCGGATGACAGGGTGGGGGAGGCGGTGTAAGCCTCCGAATTTTACTCTCGGGTGAGCGTACGTAGTAAGCGTCAATAGGCTCAAAATATCAAGCGAGGGAAGTCGAATGATGAACGGTGCATTTTATATATAAAAAAGTGTGAACGCACTATTTCAATGAACAACTTACAGAAGAGCCTCAATAATGGCTGTGAGGTAGCAGGGAGATGGCAGCACAACAACGGATTGTATCCAACTGCGCAGAGCTTTGAGTTATCAACCTTGCATGGATCACAAATCATTTTTCTGGTGTCTTCCCACCTTCGACCAAAACACCGGTACATGGCACCGGCCAAGCATCACGATGCAGGACCCTCCAGCGAACGAGTCTTCAGACTCAACAAAGTTTGCTTGGCTAAAGGGGGCGGTGGTGCAGTGGTTAGCACGCTGCGCTAAACCACTTCCATGTCTAACATTTCTGACACAATGCTGTAACCACAAACTTATAACTGGGAAACAACGCGAGACCTCGGCCGACAGGTTACAAATTGATTCGCGAGGCCCCGAAAATTAGTTCATGCCAGCCATCGTTTAACAATTGCTTACGGGCGGGCGAATCGCAAGCCCCCCTCCGCGCCGCTTGTAAACAGCCTGCATTGCGCCGCCGCGCGGTTTCGTTTACGCCTTGCAAACACATTTTTGGGGACTAATTTGACAATGCAAATTCCGTGCCAGGTCACAGTTTTGCATTGACGCTCTTGAAAAGCATCGCGCGCCATTTGCACCATCAGTTATCCAAGTAAAGTGCGTAAATTAAATGACGACGTGGTAACAGCCTGGGACACGAGTTTACAGCTTCTGATTAAGTCTCCTCGTCAGTGTTTTACATGCAGGTGTCAACGCAGCTGGAAGCATCTGCACGCAGGAGGCCGATTTTCAAAGCTGGCTTGCACCGTGGATAATATATATAGACAAAAATAACCATTTACTGATCAGAAACGTGAAAATTTTACAAAAGTTGGAAAATGCACAAAGGTAGCAGAGGAGTTGAGCCGGCACTGCCGAGACTCTGGGTTAGAATCCAGGTTTCAACCACCTACAGTACAAGAATCAAACCGGGTTCTCAAGTTTGTAGCAAGTTGAGGATGTCAGCCCAGTCACCAATGACCATCATCGTAAATCTGATTCTGTAATGGCGCCGAGAATTAAAAACAATACGTGTTGGACAACAGCACGTGGGTTAGAGAATAAACACGAGTGTATGACTACATGCGGTGCAAAAGAAGTGCAACATACATACATGCATACAATTTAGTTATCATGGATACTGTTCATTCAAGTGGGATTTGGGCAAGAAACGCCAATGCAAGGGATGATGGACGATGGGCAAGACTGATGGCGGAATGGCAGCGAAAGTGCAAAGGAGGGAATGTGCCTGGGTGGGTACAACTGCAGAGATGGAGCAATGAGATCAGCTCCGTGTATAGCAAGCGGGATGGACTGGTAGCATCACGGGACTTTGAGGGAATGGCGATGGTGTGGGAATCCTTTCATCTAGCAGCGGATAACACAATCGCTGCAGGTGATGAGCGATCGATGAGCGCCGGTTATTTAAAGTTGCTCGACGGAGAAAGAAATAATTTAGAACGCGCGCAGACGCACACGCACACCTCTGCAGTTTAGTCTGGGGAAGGAAATGTGCAAGGCATTCGAGGCTCACGTGCCACCGGATTCGAAACGGCTTCTGGGGCCCGGGCAACGCGTTCGGGTGTTTGACGAGAGCGGTTATTTGCTGCCGCTGTTTTCGCAACGACAGAGGCCACGCGCGCGCGTGAACACTCATTTGTGCACACGTTCGCATCCTCGCAAAGGGCCTTACAGGAAAGACTCTCTCGCAAAGTAGATTAACGAGGAAACGCGGCGACGTACGAGCCCGCCACGGGCTGTGTGAAAAAAAACACAACAGTGTGAACATCAGATGTATTTAGGGCTCGTTTACATCCACACGAGCCTATTTCGTCACTCCATCTCCATGATGGATCCTTATTCCTAGGTGCGTTACCTCCTTCGGCCGTCACTCTTGTCGTGGTTCAAAATCGACGTGTGTATACTTACGAATCCCTCCCCTCTAGTTGAAACCAATTCTAACACTTTGGCTAAATGATAAGAAACTGATCAGGGAATAAATGTGCGTGCAGGCTGAAAATAAATAAAGGATAGCAATGAATAACAAAATATGAGACGCACCAAAAAATGTGATTTCCAGAGAAAACATATGGTTTCAACTATAAACCATTTTAATTTTACCAGAATGCAGCACAAATGATAGCTCAACTAAGTGTCTTATCGTGGTGGAAATTATAGCGGTCAAATGCTTGAAACGCATGTTGATTCTAAATGTTGGGTGGAAAAACCAGAGGACCTGGAGAAAAATACACGTGACCACGAGGGGAAGATGCAAACTCTAAACGCACAGGCATCGTCAGGGTCGGGATCGAACCCAAGACCCTCCTGCACACCAGGCGAGATAGTTAATATCTCGCCACTGTGGCACCATAACACCTAAACGCAAGCTGAATTCATTGTTCCAACTGCAGTGGACGTCCTTTCGGGCGTGTTCCTTCCTGTTGGTCATCACTCCGTCGCTCGGCTCAACCAGTGCCCCACCATCGGCTCAACCACCGTCACGCGGGATTGGTGACGTCACGCGGGATTGGTGACGTCACGTGGGATTGGTGGTGTCACGTGGGATTGGTGGTGTCACGCGGGATTGGTGGTGTCACGTGAGATTGGTGACGTCACGTGGGATTGGTGGTGTCACGTGGGATTGGTGGCGTCACGTGGGATTGGTGACGTCACGTGGAATTGGTGACGTCACGCGGGCTTGGTGGTGTAACGTGGGATTGGTGACGTCACGTGGGGTTGGTGGTGTCACGTGGGATTGGTGGTGTCACATGAGATTGGTGATGTCACGTGGGGGTTGGTGACGTCACGCGGGATTGGTGGTGTCACGTGAGATTGGTGACGTCACGTGGGATTGGTGGTGTCACGTGGGATTGGTGGCGTCACGTGGGATTGGTGACGTCACGTGGAATTGGTGACGTCACGCGGGATTGGTGGTGTCACGTGGGATTGGTGACGTCACGTGGGGTTGGTGGTGTCACATGAGATTGGTGACGTCACGTGGGGTTGGTGGTGTCACATGAGATTGGTGGTGTCACGTGGGATTGGTGACGTCACGTGGGGGTTGGTGGCGTCACGCGGGATTGGTGGTGTCACGTGGGATTGGTGACGGTCACGCGGGCGGGATTGATGGTGTCACGGGACGTGGAAGGCACGATGGGTACGACCGATCGTTTGGCCACTATTGTGGCATTTTCTGCCATGGAACAGCTCGTTGTGTGAATTGTTACACAGCCATTCCGTGTCGGTTCAGTTGGAGGAGTAGCTTTACTATTTGAGTTCAGGGTTAGGTCAGGGTCAGCGTTGGGATTTGCATCCCAATTGCCCTTTATCCATCGAGTAAAGCCTCACTCGAGCCTTAAGTATGTACGTTTGAATCCAACCGTACTAATCGGACATGCCAGTCCCGCCTGTGGTAGTGCGCGTTGGTGTCTAAATCTTTTGTATTCTTTTTGTTTTAATTTTGATTCATATGTTGCATTTTCTGATTTAATGTGAACGATAAGACACAAATTTGCCCGTTTTATCATTGAAAATAGATACATTTAAAAATATCACTGTCCTGGTCACAAAAGTTTGTGGGGAATAACAGCCATTTTTTGTACTTTTAAAGCATAAGCAATTACGAAATAACACTTACTACCCAGGAACAAAAATTGTGTTACATAGTGTTATTTGTTCGTATTAGGCATAGCATTAGGGTTGGCAATAAGGTAATGGTTAGCGATAGCATAAAGGTCAGAGTTAGAGGCTGGTTTTGGGTTCGTATCGGGGTTATTGTTCGTGTGGGACTAGATAAACGCTTATTATCAGCCTTGGCGTAAAGATTAGTTTTAGGATTAAGGCTAAGGGGGTTATAGGGTTCGCATTGGGAGTTAAATTGAGGATTAGTGTTGGCATTAGGGTTGGGGTTAAGGTTGTGATGAGGATTACCGTGGTCACTATGGTGAAATGTTACCAACACAGCACGAGACACTGCTGGCATGGATGACACCACCACCATTTTACAGGCAGCGGGGGAAGGGGGGGGGCTAAATGATGCCTTGACTTGCTGGGGTGGTGGTGGGGGGAGGGGCTGTGGGTGGGGTTGAGAGGCAAGTGGGGTTACTGTGGTTGGTGGTGGTTGATTGGGAGCCTGTGACAGCCAGGTTGAGGGTAGCTGCTGCTCTGCTGACGGCCGTGTGACGCGCACGTGTGTGCGTGTGACGCGCATGTGTGTGCCAGAAGTGCCAACTGATACAGCACGGGGCACAGCTGGTGCATCTGTCAGTCATCTCGGTCAGTCAACCCATGGCACCTGGGTCTGTTCCGTGACCTCCTTCCAGCGATCCTTTCGACATTGCACGTGGCCTTAAAGTGGACATACCCTGGCACAAGCGCCGTGGTGACATCACCGCCACTTTGTGGCAAATAGCGGTTTTTGTTGTGTGTGCGAGTGTGTAGGGGGGAGTGGTAGTGTAGTGGTTAGCGCACTGCGCTACGAACCCAGCAACCCGAGTTTGATTCCTGCTCAAGGCCAATATCAGTGACAATTATCTGACACGGTCCTGAGCCTCCACCTCGGTCGACTCAGCTTCACATGAGTAACTGGTGTGATGTGTAAACATTGCCACTCGGGAGACAACGGTGGTCGGGCGTGGTGCTGGGCACCCACTTTTTCCGGCCTTCATAAGTGCTCACTAACAGCACTTGCCCCAACAGTCTGCGAAGGCTATATGGAGAGGGGTGGGATTTTTGTCTTTGTGTGTGTGTGGGCGTCCCACACTCACGTGCTTCGCTGCTGTCCGCGAGGTCCCCACGACGCGGCCGTGCTCATCCACGACGTCCACCCCCTCCTGCAGCTCGTTGTGCCGCATCAGCAGAACGTTGCACACGTTGGCGGTGGCTGTTGGGTTTCCGCATGCGAGGGGGGACGCTTTAGGACCGGGTCGCGCCCTGGCACGTTTCTTTTTAGGGTAAATCGTTTCTGGTCAATCGTGGCCGGCAATATTTGTCGGCGCCGTTTTCGGACGCTTTGACAAATTTGCTCGCGCAAAATCGGGCAAATGTGACCGCTGCCACCAGGGCCGGATGAAGGCACGGGGCTTTAGGAGCTGTAAAAATAAATTCTATTTTTCTTAACTTTGTTTTCCTTTTGAAAATATTACTGGGGGCCTCACAGTACCTGTAGACCAGGGGCCTACACAATCTTAATCCGCCCCTGGCTGCCACCACTCGTGGGTGACTGGGATGGCAATGTCGAATCAGATCACAGAGATCACGTGGCTGCCCGGGGGTGCTCTGTGGGCCAATCAATGTTCAGCGAATGCTCTTTTCAATAAATGATGTCTTCATCGTCTAGACACGACTCCGTCACTCAATACCACGGATGCCCCCCCGTCCCACTAGGAATTAAAATCAGTGTTCTCATTTGTACAGTTTTGATGACTACATTTGCTTACATGTGAATTAACATTTCATTTGCATAAATCATATCTCACACACAAAATTCCATGCTTGAATCATGAGCCTAAAAAAAACTTAGGGGAGGGCCAGAACCAGTTGAAATATTCATCATCGATGTTGGCCATGAGTAGGAATTGACTCATGGCACAGTATGCTAACCACTGCACTACCGCTCCCCGTTCGATAGGAACGCACGCACGCAAACACAAAGATACTCCAGGAGCATACGCCGAGTAACTGAAGACTCTAGGAACGGCTGTGGCTAGCGAACTAAAGACGTTTGAGGTGACACAGAAACACGCGGTGACATCTTAAGGGGGTGAAATGAAATAATCCACGAAAAAAAAGACCCCGTTATTTATTTATTCATCTCTGTCCACCGCCCTCGCCCATGAACAAGGCCTCGTCACGCGAGGCAAGGGCAGAGCAGCTCATTAACCTTTAACGGGCCTGGTCTAAAGCCGATAATGAGGACGTTAATAGAAGTTTTAAGTCCTTATGCGCTTAATAATTAAACTGCCCTAGCTCGCTCGCAAATCTCCCTGGAAGCCTTTAATTGCCGCGCAACTCACGAGTCCTCCATTAATTAACGCCGCGCCAAAACTGAATAAGCTACCGAGTCTGGCGGCTATATGATACATTTATTTTAGAGAGCTCATTATAAAACCTTGGGTTGTTTTCTTTCTGCTCCGCAATGTTGGTGATTTTCTCAACTTTTTCTTTCAATTGTATTATTTTGCGACCACTTTTTTTTTTCGTGTGGAGGAATTTCTGCAATAGTTCTGCCTAATGCAAGTGCTGCTCACTGTTAATGAGTCTTCGCACTTTTTGGTCGCTAGATTTCCCATGAAACACCTAGCGACGATAATGCAGCTTAATCGAATGAAACAATGCATTTGTTAAAGTTGAGAAACTTTGTTTTCAAATAGAGAATAGTTTATCTTTCACGATCACCTTTATCACGGAGATTCAGGCGTTTTCACAGTCGCCTCCTGATTACAATTGGCCGTGATCGGACACAGTCTGTCACGTGCACCCGAACTCAACTTAATCTTCATTCCATTTTTCAAAAATAACTTTTTTGTAAAAAATGTTTAGACATGCGCGTTCCTTTTTTTCAAACTCAAAGAACAATTTTGCAAGAAACATATATATAATCGTATCCATCCCATACATTTGACAAAACAACGTGGATCCAAACAAACGACACTTATTTGAATCAAATATTTTGGCTCGCACGCACATGTCAGTGGCATTAGCCTCTCCCCCGAACAACAACAGCAACAAGCACCAGAAAGAAATGCCAATGTTGACACCGACGATGTCACCTGTTCAAGGTTTTTAACAGAAACAAGGGCTGTAAAATAAAAGTGAAATTCAAAACAGCGGAATGTGGAAGGGGTGGATGCAGAGCGTCATGTAAGGTGTGTGTGTGGTGTTGCGGTTGGGAAAGGAGAGGGTGGGGTGGTTTGGGGGGGGGTAGTAGTGGGGGGGGGGGGGGTAGAAGTGGCGGGGGGGTATTAGTGGGGGGGGGGTGTGCGGTCGTTGTGGGTGTGGGAACTTTACCCACGGCAGGGAAGGGAATGAGGCGCTGGATGAGGAGACGGGTGGCCGGGCTGAAGCCGCTGGCTCTCTGAATGAAGACGTTTAGTCCCACCTGCCGATTGCACACGAGCACATCACACAAGACAACACCAAGTTCCCCCGTGTAGCCTATTAACAGGCTGCTGGAGCAAATGCTGCTAAGCGAGCACCTATGAAGGCCGGAAACCACGCCCGACCGCCTTTGTCTCCCCAGTGGCGATGTTTTTACACACCGCACGACCCGGAAAAGGCCCAGGACAGGTTCAGGTAATCTTCACCGGTGTTGGTCGTGAGCGGCAATCGAACTCGGGTCGCCGGGTTCGTAGCGCAGGGCGCTAAACGCGACACCACCGCTCCCCACACAACCACACATCCCGCACAACCACACACGCACGTAGACACATGCACGCACAGACACTATGCTTACACATGCTGTCTAATGTGTATCGGGGTAAAGCCGTGTAAGTGCAAACTTTAAAAAGTGACAAAACATAAGGATTTTTTTTTACTTAAAACAAAACGTAAGCGATTACTTCAGGCAAACAGCATGTATAGTACGTCGACCTATTTGATAAGGGAGAAACGCTCATGAGATACCCATGGTATCGGACACACGAACACTTTTTTTTTACTGCGCTGTGGTTTTGATGCTGCATTCCATTTCACGTATTCGTCAAACCTAATTGAATCCACTTACAAGTCATATTTTCTAAAACCTTTAAAATTATACCCAATTAGTGTTCAGTATTTTTTGTCACAGTTTTCCTAATCTCTGAAACTGCTGCCAGATTATCAAAGTATGTTGTAAAGTAATTCTACCTGTATGTCGACTCAATTCCCTCTTGGGCCTGGACAATTATGCCCACAATTTCTTCTCGTGAGGAAACGACAACAACAAAAAACTACGGATGGGCACATTTCTCTCCATTTTGTCAGCGTCTTGAGATTCACACGCGATTCGACAATTTGTAAAACTAAATTGGAGTGAATGTCAAACGTCATGGCTTGAAATTTGCCAAATTTGACAACGTCTCACCATTAAGGCTGCACAACATGGACATCAAGGGCCTTTTTATTTACATTTCGTTTCCCGAGAAGCTATTTTGTTCAACGGAGCAGTGTCCCTTTTGGCCAAAGAGCTGAAAGGCCGAATGCTTACGAGACGATCGATTTATTTGCACCCACAAAAATAAGTTAGGTAATTTTTTCGTAATTTATCCCCATTTTCCATATGTTCTAATGTATCTCTTTAAGCCAGATACGAGGTGTGCAGTCCAACGGTGCAAGTAACATGCCGACTGGATGGACAGAAAGCTCTTGCGATGTCGAGAACGAGACGTCACCCCAATAGACGGATCCGTCAGCTGGCTGCTGTTCTATTCACGTGAGCTGTGACCGGGAATCGAGCTTAGGTCGCGGGCTTCGTAGCACAGTGCATGAACCAAATTCACCGCCCCAGTTAACAAGGATGTGTATTTTAAAACTCATAATCAACGTTTTTGGGTTTAGATCGCGTTATTTATAAATGTGTCGTAACCCTCCACCACCCGACACGGCCAATCAGTAAAAAAGTGTCACGTTGACAAAAGACAAATAGTTCACTGCTTTCGCCCACCGGTGTGTTGAAGCGTGAAACCACAACATTTACAATTTGAGTAGTACGACGTTTCGCTGGAAATTGCATCCAGCATCATCGGGCAATTCGCCAGAATGGCGAGGCTCTGCTCTGTCTAACATTTATTGGGCACAACTTGTTCTGGTGATATACAATTGGAAATGTTTCTGAACTCTAGTTGTGTATACTGTGTTTATCGTACACAAAGACAAAGATCCCCCATGTAGCCTAAACAGACAAATCGAGGCAAGTGCTGTTAGCGAGTAGCACACCTATGGCATACAAAGGGGGTGGGTGGCCAACACCACGCCCGGCCGCCTTTGTATCCCGAGTGGAGATGTTTGCACATCGCACCAGGTACTCATTTGAGGCTGAGTCGACCTAGGAGAGGCCCAGGACCGGTTCAGATAATCGTCACTGGTGTTAGCCGTGAGCGTGAATTGAACCGGGGCCTACAGGTTCGTAGCGCAGCGCGCTAACCGCTACACTACTGCTCCCCACTTACAGACGCACACAAAAACAAACGCACTCAAACGCAGGTGTGCATTCAGAGACCCCGTTCACGAATCGTGTTTATTGTACCTCAAGCCTGCTTGCTGACACTCTTTGTGCAACCACATAGCAGGATCATTAACAAACTTGAGAGCAGTCTATTTTCTACGGAGGCTCACCAATTTAGGCATAATTATACAAATTTAATCATTACTGCTGCAGATAGCGGCCTGAAGTAATTTTAAAAGTTGGTCAATATGACATAATTAATGCACAATTGTCTGCATATCTCCCCTCTCATTTAGAGTGTTTTTTTATACAATAGCATATATAATTTTGTATTATAATGCAACACTTGCAAAAGGAAACTTCAACTCTATTGTAAAAATGCAAGCTATAATCGCGTTTAAACGCTCCACTTTAGTTTCGTGCAATTCAAATTGTAAAGCGATATCTCGTTAAGAGTTTTAAAATAATATAAAAAAGCGGGACAGAAATACACACCGGATTTCCACTTTAACTGCGAAACAGCAATTTTAGTTCAAGGAATAAAATAAAATATTTCAGAGCGTTTTAATTAAAAGCATATTTTAATAAAAAAAATATTAATAAAAATAATAATAAAAAACACACAAGATAATATTAGAGATGGTTGGTAGGGTACAATTATATTTTTAATAACTTTTTTTTGCAGAAAAGTCAACAGTACAATTAAGGCGCGACAAATCGGCAATTGTGGCACTGCTGAGGAAGGGGAAAAAAACGTGTTCTCGACAATTGCAGACGTGATAAAAAAAATCTAATTAGCGTTACGCATATGCAGCCAACCTATGAGAGCCACATTCTATCATTTGAAAAATTCTCAACAGTCAACTAAATAACTGCTTTGTGCCGAGTTAGGCAAGAGTGGACAACAACTGTTCCGGCTTACGATAAATTGACACGTTGCAACTTTGGATGAGCGTATATTTTTTTTACACTAATTTTTCCACTCGGAATGCCAAAATGAACTTTCATTTATGAGTTTCTAAAAAGTCGCCAGTCCCAATCACCCATGTCACGGAGTACAGCCATAAGCCAGTGATGAAAATTCCACATTTCTCTGGCAGTGACCGTTTCTTCAAACAGGGCAATTATTGACTTCTGCCAGGGCTTTGAACTCACGACATCACAAAGAGAAAACGCATTTTCTACGACTATGACACACACCTCTTAGTTGACCGCGGTGGACTGGAGGTGAGATGTGTATCACAACCGCGCGGTCAAACTTGTCAACCTGAGTTCAATTCCCGAACTCGGGGGGGGGAAGTGCAGGCAGAGTTGGGGGAGGGGGGGATTGCCACACCCTATTGCCTTGGGTCCTGGGACTCTGTCGGCCAGAGGCCAGATTACAAGCGCCCGGCACTGCGGCGCTCCGGGACAAGTTGGACACATCAAAGGGACACACTCCTGGGGCTCGAGCCTGGGCTCACTGCTGCGCGGGGACAAACGCGTTAAGTAATATTACACCCCGGGCGACCCTCGAAAAGCCGGCAAATCTGCGCAAAGAGAGTGAATAGCAAACAAGCAAAAAGGGGATTAGACCACATAGCCCACATCACCTTCCACTCTACCGAGTCCTCCCCCACCACTACCACCACCACCCTCCGCCCTCCTTTTCAAACCTCCACGACCTCCCCACCCGAACTTACAACCCGCAATAAGTCGCCCTCCTGATCTAACGTCCGGTGTCACTGCCCCCCCCCCGACCCTGCATCTCCAATACGCCAACCCACACTGACCAGCATGGTGAAGTATGGTCATATATGCAAAACGAAGCCCACCCTGCCCCCTTTACCAAAAAGTGTCAGAAGGCCTTATTGCAATCGAAGTGACCAAGAATGGTAAATTATCAAATGATTCTTAATGCTACTGTTAAACCCGCATTCTACGAATGATGAAACGTTCCAGAAAGTAAGAAGCACTCCAAACTAAAGTTGTACAAATCTAGTCTAACAAACAGAAGACAAAGATCCCCCATATAGCCTTAACAAACTGTTGAGGCAAGTGCTGTTCGCGAGCACCTATGAAGGCGGGAATGGTAAACGAGGGGGTGTGTGGCCAGCACCACGCCTAGCCGCCTTTGTCTCCCTCGTAGCGATGTTTTTATGCAATGCTGTAGGCACTCATTTGAGGCTGAGTCGATCTAGGGAAGGCCCAGGACCAGTTTAGATAATCGTCACTGGTGTTGGCTATGAGCGGGAATCGAACCCGGGTTGCCAGGTTCGTAGCGCAGCGTGCTAACCGCTACATTAACGCTCCTCACACACACACGCACACACGCACACACGCACACACTGACTTTAGATACACACACATGGAGTTACACACACATATCAATGTACACACACACAGCGACTCTCACACACACACACACACATAGACTTACACATCGACTCACACACACACACACACACATGGACTCACACACACAACCACATTAAAATAGAATTAACCTTAAGCGTTGTGTACTTTGATTGAAATCGCTAAATAAAGTACTTGACGGATGGGAAAAAGGAATCACGCTTGCTCACCGCAGGGTTTACAGCGTTGTATCTGGCAAAAAATGTAGACATACACCCCACGTCTTCTTGTTTCTTTCGGTAAAGTCACGTAGAAGGGAAGTAATAAAATAATAAAAATAAAACATAATAAAACAATTCTCACGACGTTTCGGCTACAACGCAAGCAGCCGTCTTCAGGTGACGGCTGCTTGCGTTGTAGCCGAAACGTCGTGAGAATTGTTTTATTATGTTTTATTTTTATTATTTTATTACTTCCCTTCTACGTGACTTTACCGAAAGAAACAAGAAGATGAATCCCTGCAGTCACGAAAGCTTTAAATCGAAATTCATACACCCCACGGTTTGGGAGCCAAATCCTTCGCAAGCGTGCGTCCACACACAGACAGACAAAGAATGACGTTT